TTAGGGTTAGGGTTAGGGTTAGGGTTAGGGTTAGGGTTAGGGTTAGGGTTAGGGTTAGGGTTAGGGTTAGGGTTAGGGTTAGGGTTAGGGTTAGGGTTAGGGTTAGGGTTAGGGTTAGGGTTAGGGTTAGGGTTAGGGTTAGGGTTAGGGTTAGGGTTAGGGTTAGGGTTAGGGTTAGGGTTAGGGTTAGGGTTAGGGTTAGGGTTAGGGTTAGGGTTAGGGTTAGGGTTAGGGTTAGGGTTAGGGTTAGGGTTAGGGTTAGGGTTAGGGTAGGGTTAGGGTTAGGGTTAGGGTTAGGGTTAGGGTTAGGGTTAGGGTTAGGGTTAGGGTTAGGGTTAGGGTTAGGGTTAGGTTTCTGATACATAAGCGATATTTTAGGGGAAAAGCAGGGATTTCTATGAAAATATTCGATCTTTTACGTTAAAAACAGGGATTTCTATGGATACATGCGATATTTAAGGGGGAAAACAGGGATTTGTATGAAAATATTAATATAGGACATTTCCCTGTAATGATGGTGATTTCTGCTAAAAATGAATTTTTCCCATTAAATCTGCGGTCTTTCCCTTTAAATATGCTTTTTCTGTTTGAAATCCCTGTCTTTCCCCTAAAATATGGGGGTTTTCCTCTTATATGTTGCTTTTTCTGCCCGAAATCCCTGTTTTCCCTGTTTAATGTTGGGGTTTTCCCCTTAAATATGGCTTCTACTAGAAATCCCTGTTTTTCCATTTAATCTGGGGTTTTTCCATGAAATATGGCTTTTTGTGCCAGAAATCCCTGTTTTGATCCTTAAATCTGGGTTTTTTCCCCTTCAATCTGGCTTTTTCTCCCAGAAAACCCAGTTTTTCCCATTACATCTGGGATTTTTCCCCTTAAATATGAGCTTCTGCTGCTCAAAATTCCTGTTTTTCCCCTTCAATCTTTGGTTTTCTGGCAGAATTCCCCATTTTTTCCCACTAAATCTGGGAGTTTTCCCCTTAAATATGGCTTTTTCTGCTAGAAATCCTTCTTTTACCCATTAAATATGGGGCATTTCCCCTTAAATATGGCTTTTTCTGCCAGTAATCCCTGTTTCTCCCGTTAAAATGGCTTTTTGTGCTAGAAATCCCTGGTTTTCCCCTTCAATCTGGGGTTTTTCCCAGAAATATTCCTTTTTCTGCTAGAAATCCTTATTTCTCCCCTTCAATCTGGGGTTTTCTCACAGAAATCCCTGTTTTTCCCCTTAAATATGGCTTTTTCTGCTAGAAATCCTTCTTTTACCCTTTAAATATGGGGCATTTCCCCTTAAATATGGCTTTTTCTGGTAAAAATCGATGTTTCCCATTAAATCTGTGGTCTTTCCCTTTCAATATGGCTCTTTCTGCCAGAAATCCCTGTTTTTCCTCTTAAATATCGCTTATTTTCCTAGAAATCCCTGTTTTTCCCCTTAAACATGGCTTGTTTTCTATTACTGAGTGTGCTGCCTTGTCTCGGAGCCATCTAGAACTATCTGTGCCCGTGACAGAGGACAGCAGGCCTGCAGTCCTTCTGGCCAAAAATAAAGATATGAATGATAATATGAACGATAATAATAACAACAACAATAATAAATCAGCAGCAAGGATCTTAGGAGGAAATGCAATTTTACTAAACATGATATGGGAATGCAAGATAACGCAATATTATAAACTAAAATTGCAATTTAGGGTAATAAATGATATAAAATGAGAGAGCGAGCGTCTGAAAGCAAAAGCCTTGCTTTGAACTGCAGGCGCACGGCTGGGGAGCGAAGCCACGCACTGCAGGGCAGCGAGCAAGGGAGAGATCCTGGGACTTCCTGCCATGGCTGATCTTCCCCTCTGAACTCAGAGTCCTCTGGGTCTGCAGTTCTTCTCTGCTGAGAGCCAGGCATCCAGAAAGTTGTCCGTCCACAGACCTGCAGTATTGACTCCTTAATTCCCTGTGCTTTACATGATGTTATGATGTGGAGTGCCAATAACAAGGATGGTCAAACCATGGCACCAGATGGGGCGTTTGCAGCTTTGCTCGGCACACACAGTCTGCTAGGACAAACAATGCTGCAGGAATCAGTCTGTGTACTGGTGATGAATTCATCTGACTTCAAAGTACGTTGTGCAGAGATGACCCTGTTGTCTATCAGGAGCTGCCAATGCAGAGACCTAAGGACATCCCCAGGGAGAGCAGTGAGGAAGAGAAAATGCCATCTTCTGCTGGAGAGCTGGGCCGGGCTGCTGGGACACAGGGAGCTCATAAAAGTGGGCAGTGCTGCAGAGAGACGGCTGTGCCCAGGAGCAGCTCTTGTGCACAGCACAGCCTGCAGGTGACAGGAGGAGAGCAGAGCAAGGAGAGAGAGCTTGTAGGATGTGTATGGTGTGAGCAGGCTGTGAGCTCACTGGAGGAGCATCGCTGGCAGCCTCTGACAAGGTCAGTCTCACTGCAGGCTGTGACTCTGCCGCCTGCCAGGCTCGGTGCTCAGCCTGCCTGGGGAGCTGCCCAGGGC